AGCCATCAGCGGCAGCACCCTCCGGCGGTGGAAGGCCACCACGACCACAGCCGCCGTAAGGCAGCGTCTCCGCAGCCTCTCCAGCCCCTCCAGGAGCGGCTGCAGCTTGGGCTGCTCCTCCCTCGGGACACCATACCTCCACTTCTCCGAACAGTCCTCCATGATCCGCCCGGTGTAGGGGGGAAGTTCGCCGTTGTCGTTGCGGAGGTAGAACCAGCTGGTGTACCAGCGACGATTGGTCAACGCGAGCTGGGTCGAGATGTAAAGGTGCTGTCGGTCTTGGCGCACCTAGAGAGTGCAGCCGCCGGCCCTCATCATCTTCCTCGTACCCGCCGGCTTGGTGGTATGCCCCGCTCGGAAGAGATGGAGCCACAGCTCCCAATGGGGGGCGATCCCCAGATACCCTCATAGACGATGACGAAAATAGCCGCCTGCGCAACGGAGTTGGGGTTGAAGTTGTGTAGCTCCACCCTGTAGTAATGCGGGAGCGCCCGCATGAATCGGTCCGCTGGCACGCCGAGACCACACTCGTGGAAAGATACGAAGCTCACGACGTACCCTTCGCGTGGCCTTGGCTCCGGCTCGCCCAACGGAGCAATCCACTCCGGCCTATCGGGGTCGGTGATCGGACGGAGAAGGCCGTCGTCGACGAGCGACTGCAGCACCTCCACGGACACGTCGGACGGCTCCCAAGGATCCACTGGGAGGATGACAGGAGGGCCGCCGGCCATTACGTGATGGAGAATGAGGGCTATGGCGGTAAGTCTCTCTCTCTCTCTCTCGCTCGCTCGCTCTTCTCCCTTCTTCTCCCCGGCGCTCTTTGTTCTTGGCAACGGCTCGAAAGCAGAAAAGGCAAGTACGGGCAAGGTAAGGAGGGGAGGGGCGAGACTCGTTTCGTATTTATGCAGGGAAAGGACGAAACGGTTAGGCAACAAAACCGGGGAAGTTTCCCTTGAGTCCAGGCACAGTTAATCCAGATCCGATTCTACCGCCCACGCGCCCACCTTTTTCTCATTAATCGCACGGACGGTTATGTCCTGCCCGCTGACACCGCGTCGCGTCCAACCGCAGCAACAGCAGGCCCCGAGAAACTGCCTCAAAGGGCGCGCCTGCCGTTGTCAGCCGATGGGAGGGGAATATTCCCCCAGCCGATTCCTTCTAGACTAAGGAACTGGGCGCCGAGCCCGTTACGGTCCAGGGGTTCGAAGGCTGGACCCCCGAGGGTTTCGACAGCCACCCTAGGACAACAGAGTCAGGGACAGCTATGGGCAAGCCCATACATGGCCGAGGCCCGAGCAAGCAATCGCTCGGGATGCCCTAAGTCGTGTGTGAGACCAACGGGGAGTTCTCTGAATGGGATCCCACCGTTGGGAGGCGCCGAGCCCCCGGGGCCAATCGAATGGCCCTAGGACCCACTGGGGAAGCCCTCTGGTACTTTTGGAGTGCGTCTCTGGACCACTAGCTGACCCCTATCGAATGGGGCACGGGCCTCCACTCGGATTTACCCGATAGTAGCTCACCGGAAGTGTCACCGCTCGCGCCCACCGAGGGTAGCCTGGCATATTCCACCCCTCCTTTTGAGCGAAAAGGATGCGCGAGGGTCGCATAAAAAGCCAGGGGAACTTCTGACCGCCCTCTCGCTCTGTGCGGAGGCTCGGGGGCTCTCCCTGCAAACCTTGCTGAGACCCAGCAACCTAGGCTCGCACTCGAGGGGGCTCGGCAAACAAACCCCTTCTTCCGAGCGAAAATGATGCGTGAGGGCCATCAAAAAAGACAGGGAAACCACTAATCGTCCTCTCGCTCTGTGCGGAGGCTTCGGGGGTTCTTCCTGCAACTAGGCCAAGTCCCAGTGACCCGAACTCGCATTCATGGGCCCGGCAAACACGATAAAACTCCTTGCTCAAACGGAGAAAAAAGCCCCTAGAGGAGTAAACCCACTCCTCCAGGGCCTCGGGGGCTACACCCCGCGGGTGCGCTCGCGCGCACCCACCGGAACCACCAAGTACAAAACACAATCCCGACGGGAGCTGCTACGAGCCAAGTCTCGTCAAAACCTCAGGAGAGTGCCTGCACTCCTCCCAAGGCTCGGGGGCTACTATCGGATACCACAAGAAGGGGTACCCCAAGCAAGAACCGAAAATATTGCTTAAGCCTTGCAAAAAATCAAAGCCAAAGGACAACCACGAGGTCTCGGTAGATTCTCCGATTCGCCCGAGGCTTGCGCCGAGGCCTAGACGAAAGGCCAAAGCTCTCCGCCCCGCCGAGGCCCTCTCGCCGAGGCCCTCTCGCCGATGCCCTCTCACCAAGGCCCCGCCCGCAAGGCCTCGGACGGGATACCAATTCTCCGATTCGCCCAAGGTTGGGCTCGGCAACAACCTCGTCACCTCCGTCCCGACCGACTCCTCTAACAAAATGTCACGACCAGTTAATGCGCCCAACTACTCCCGCACGTTAGCCGCACGTTGGTGCAGTACAGGCAGAGTGACCGATGGGACAGGGGACCGGGCGCAGCAGGGGTTACCTGCCACTATGCTCATTACGGTGCCCCCTGCTGACACCCATACTGCCCTGTGCTACCTAACTCCCGCGATAAGGATAAAGCGGCGTGGAGGGTCAAGTCCAGGTCCCTGTAGTCTCGGAATTAGCATGAAAGACCAACTGCTCGTCCTCCGCCTCGTCCGAGACCCCCCGGTAGGGCCTCGGACGTACTATTCCTTCTCCGCCTCGGCTGAGGCCGGGCTCGTCCCGCATCCTCGTCGTCTCCGCCTCAACCGTCCCTCTGGCGAGCCGTCCCATCCGTTTAAGTGCGCTTGGTCACACACTCACGTACACCACGATCGCGTGGTACAAACACTAGGGGCGATGGGACAACGGTCAAATCTCCTTTTACCATCCCCACCGACGGCGGTAGGATTACCGTGCCCTGTGGACACGCCCCGCACTTTTTTTTCCACCGAATGCACGACGCCGACCACCGAGACCCCCGCATCATACACGGATCACCTCCGAGGCCTCGGTAAAGCAGGCCTCGGCACGATCGGCTACAGCACCCGCCAAGCCTCGGCACTCCACCGAGTCAAGAATCCACAAGGCACGGCATGTCTCCTACAGTAGAAGCCATACTGACTAGACGTCAACAAGGACTTCCACGACCTCAACAACCTCGGGCCTGGCCAGCACGGCGCGCCAGTCAAGTACCAATCGCCATTCCCAACACCATGCTGCTATAGGACTGAACTACGGTAGGCTCCACGCGTAGCTCACTCATGTACTCCTGGCTCCCTCCTTGCGGTTATAAAAGGAAGCAGCCAGAGATAGTTCTAGGGGGGGCAACAAAAAAACATACAAAAGAACCATGCCCTCACACACGCCCAAGCAACACTCCGTAACACACGCGCTCCCAAGCTGCCTGAGAGCAATGTCTCAAGCGGCCCGCACCGTTCCACGCCGAGACCTGGGACTAGCTCTCTCTCTCACCTAGCTTGTAACCCCCTACTACAAGCACTTCGGTGCAAGGAATACAAGATCGATCTCTCAGACTGGACGTAGGGCACCAATTGCCTGAACCAGTATAAACCTTGTGTCTCTTTGCATCACCATTCGGAATTAAGGGCACGCAGTTCAAATTCACTTGTTGATTGAGGACCCCCGGTCCGAAACAACGACAAGAAGAATACGATGGAATAGACCAAAGTGCCCTTGAATGTGATAAGGTTTTCTTGAATTAGTACGGGGCAAAATAAAGCATTTACCAGCATAAGAAAAATACATTATTTTTGCTTGTACATCCTCGAACAAAATACAGGTTTCCATGTCTCCTGAAATCATATATTGCATTCTCATATCCATTAATTACACAAATCCATTCGATTGTAGGGGAAGGCTGGTTGTAGGTGCACTGGGAGGGACGACGATGGGCTACATAGGCGACGATGGTAGCTCCTCTTCGACGAGGGAAGGCCATTACTGAGGGGTGGGGAAGACCGTCAGCAGTCAAGCGCATGCGAGGCCACCGGCTGGGGGCGTAGGGAGGCGACTCCTCCTCGCCCTTACCGCCTGGCGCTTGCGCGTGCCTCGGAGGGGATTGGGGAGCGAAGCCGCGGGAGAGGGGCCCTACCGCCTCGAGCTTGCGCGTGCGAGGTAGGGGGTAGGGAGTGGAGCCACAGGGGAGGGGGTCGCGGCTATGGGAGCCGTGGTGTTCGGCTTCTTCAGCGGCGGCGTTTGTCATCGCCCCGTCCGCGTGCGATGTGAAACGGTGCGGTGGCAGGGGTGGTAATTTTCACCAAGACAGAGGAGGCTTGCATCGGGTGGGAGATCGAATCGGTACGAAACAAGTTTGGCCGTTTCGTGTTTTAACGAAGGGATGTGAAACGTTTCGGTTCCGATTAAGGGGCAAGTAACTCATTTGGATCCATTTCTGGTGATTCTCCTAAGAAACAAAAACGTTTTTTCCTACCAGACGGGATATTAGCTGTGGCGACTTGTGACAGAGCCTGGACATTAAAACCAAACACGCCCTTCTTCTCCAGCCTGCTGAACAAGGTCATTCAGAAATCCACTTCTTGGTCAGGCACACATGGAAATGTTTGCTAGTCAATATTCCTATCAATGAACAACCCCTCAACAACCAATAAGCTCCTACCATTACCTCAGTCCAGGGCCAACGTGCATAGACAGACGCACAACTTACACCCATCATCACAACGAATATTAATTACGCGCAAAAGCCAAACAAAAAAGAAAAGAAAATTTAATCAAGTCCGTCTATTTTCTCGTCGAATCGCGCAGGCACGCGCAACCCAAAGTACGGCCGGACTCGTCTGCTCCCATCCTCACCTCGTTTCAAATTTTCCTCTGTTAAACCCTACCCACCCGACGAATCCCTCGGCAGATCCAACCAGCTTGCCGGAGGAATACACCGGGAGATTACATCAAGCGGCGGGGAGAGGGAGGAGTAGGCGGCTGAGGGAGGGTTAGAGCTGGGCGAGGCCGTCGCTGTCATGGAGGCGCAGGCGACGGCGACGGTGAAGGAGACGCTCGCGGCTCTGTACCACCACCCGGACGCCGCCATCCGCACCGCCGCCGACCGCTGGCTTCAGGAGTTCCAGCACACGCTCGACGCCTGGCAGGTGTGCGCACGCTTCTCCTTTCGATTCGCTCTCTTCCTGTTCGTGCCCTGAGCTGGGTGAGGGTTGGTTTCTGTGTTTAGGGAGTGGGACGCTGCTGACTTGGGTCGGGTAAGAGTGGGATTTTCACGCAGTCGTGTGAATTGGGCCTGAACTAAGGTGAATTGTATCACCGTTGGGAGTGGTTCTGTAATCTTTCCGAAGCTAGCTCCATAGGAGAAGGTGGGGATTGCGATTAGATTTCTTGGAGTGGGACTTTGTTCTGACCCCTGTTGACTGCACATTGTGTCTGCTACAGCTGAGGCTGCTGGTAGGATGTCTAATGCAGGATGGTTGTGGTCTCAGTTGGTGTGCATTAGTTTGGAAAACTCAAAGACTGGATCTTTTAGGTACAGTTAACTTTTTAATCCTGTCAATTCCTTCTAGATTAGGGTTACTACTTTCTAGTGAACGCTGACGATGCAAATCTACATGTTGAGCTTCATCCAAGTGTCTTTTATAGGACTTCTATGCGAGTTTGATGCGATGCCAGTATGCCACTGACTGGTTCAACTTAGTCCATCTCCTGTAATTGGAGGTTGTGACGTGTAACATGTTTTTTTTTGAACATTTGTGACGTGTAACATGTTGCTGTGGCTATCCAGGCCTTTGAACAGACTGCTGTTAGGAAGTGATGATTTAAGAAGATGAAGGGAGGATAGAGTTGTGCATTGGCAATGTGTGCATTTGCCACTTGTGTGAATTCACCAAAGTTGACACTCTCTTTCAGTGTTTTCTAATTTCTTGATCTGTTATGGGCATATATAGTGTGTTTGTATAAAATTTAGAGTTTCTTGTCGGCTTGTGGTAGATGAATTTTCTTTGACATTGTATTATATTGCAGCCATTTTATTGTCAAGTTGAGCATATTTGAGTGTTTTTCTCATTCTCCTTATGCAGGTAGCTGACAGTTTACTTCATGATGAAAGCAGTAATTTGGAAACTCTCATCTTTTGTTCTCAGACCCTCAGAAGCAAGGTAAACGGAAAGGGGCGTAGCCGCACCTTGCATGAACTATTTAGAAATGTTATACTCCCTCCGGTACCGTTTATTAGGTGCTGCTGCAGTTTGAGAAATGTCCCTCTTATTAGGCGCCTCCTAGAAACCAAGGCAGGCATTTAACTCTCGCACAAAAATCGAACGGCTGGCTGCAACTGAACGCTAGCATTTTCGTGGCGTTGTGCTCATGCATGCATGCAAGGAGTGAATGCAGAGAAAGGGGATCCAATACAGGGCTGCCATGTGGCAAGTATGAGCTCTAAAATCCTGCGCCATTTAATAGTTCTCCTCAGTCTGGTATTTTCTTGGTATCTGGAATTCGAGTCTCTGCACCTAACAAACGGTACCGGAGGGAGTAGTTTACTTAGTTTTCACAGTGATTCTCAGTAATACCATTCCATGTTATTTGTAGGTACAAAGGGACTTTGAAGAGTTACCCTCGGAAGCTTTTCGATCATTACAGGATTCTTTATATGTAAGCACTGTCTTGTTAAGTTTCTTTTACAGAGTATCTATGTTGTATATTGTGGAAAGAAGTCAGCTAGGGCTACCATGTAGTTCTATTGCGGTTTGTGACATCTAAAGTGGCTTAAAAATATCACATAATATTTGCATAAAGTAAAACACATATAAGTATTTGTGTATCGTATTATTTTTCATATAATTACATAATTTGGAAGTCAATTCACTAGTCTAGACTTTCAAAAGAAAGCATTATAAGTGATTACAGACGGAAGCAGCAAACAAACCTTTTCTAGTCGCATCTAGTTGCTAATTTACAGCTATGAGCTTTGAAACTAAAAACTACCCCCTTGATTTCAAATGTAGGTCGTTGTGACAGTGACACGGTCTCCAATATGACACTTTGGCTTGTGACTTTTGTTAAAATATTTTAGATAGTGAAAATTGTATATTATGGAAATATTTTCCATGATGCATATGGTAACATCATCCATGTGAATCAACGTAATTTTTCATGTGTTGGTGGTCCAAGTTGAAAAGTTTAACCAGATAATGTAATCACATGAAAGGACCCACATTTGGAATCGGAGGTAGTATTTCTGTTCCCTAGCCCTTAAATATCCCACTCACTCTCAGTAGGCGATACCACCACCAGAGTCAATCATCAAGCCAAAGTTTAGTAAACTTCTATACAAGGGCACATTTATTTATTTTGGACAGCGGACACCTTTCTGTCACTCCAAGGCTTGCCCAACTGCCAAATCTGGGAAGCTAATTGCTGTGCATATATCTTGGTGGACCTAATGTTACCTTGGGGCAATGACTAGTACATGCAAAGGGCACATTTATTTATTTTGGGTAGCAAACACCTTTCTATCACTTCAAGGGTTGCCAAACCACCAAACCTTGGAAGCTGATTACTGTGCATATATCAAGGTAGACCTAATGCTATCTTTGGGGGGCAATGACAATGACTAGAACAATGCAGTGTATAATTTGTGCTTCTTTGTGTTGTTCTATGAAATACTCTGCTTTTGAAGTTCTATTGCAAGGTATACTGTGTTCTCCTATCTGGTCCTTTTGATTTCTTAGCCTTGTTATAGTATCTGGCTGACCTTTTAAGGAGCTTTGCTACTTTTTATTTGAATTTGCTGCATTTGCAGGTATTGCTGAAAAAGTTTAATAAGGGACCACAAAAAGTTAGAACACAGGTAAAAATATAGAATCAAGCTATTGTTTATGCTAACACAATTGTTGTAATACTAACACACTTTGGACCATCTTCAGATTTGTATTGCAATTGCTGCTCTGGCTGTGCATGTACCTGTAGAGGACTGGGGAGCTGGTGGAATTGTGAATTGGCTAAGCGATGAAATGAAAGCTCATCCACAATTTATTCCAGGCTTCCTTGAACTGCTTATAGTTTTGCCGCAGGTACTTATATATTCTTTGAGCTTTTTATCAAAAACTGACAACCTATGCTATGTTATCCAAAACAATGTTTGGTCATCCTTTTTTTTTTGGCAAAGGTGCGTATGTAAGGAGAATTTCTTGTGTGCGCAAGGGTTTTTACCCTTTTCTCTTCTTTAAGACAAAGATACGCAGCTTTCCTGAGCCCTGTGTTTGAGGGGGAAAAAACTGAAAAACTCAAACAAAACTGTAAAACAAAATTTAATGGAAGTTAAAGCTGTGGTCCTTTTCTTGTTCTCTCACAATTTTACATACACGGGGATTTTGAGAATGGCTGAGACTCTGAGAGAGAATACTTCGTTAACGTTTATACCGCTTCCTTCAAAGTAGCCTCACTTCTGTCATCTCTTGCCATCCTTACCTCCCCTCCTCTCCAAATCCCTACGCTCCTCTTCTTTGCCTCTTGTCCATTCTTCTGTACCCGACTACTTTGATATTTCTATCCACTGCCTGTGACATGCTCTGCTCTAGGATGAGACTACCACCACTGTGTAGTTCCATGGACCATGCGTTATGCAGATCTATGGCCATCTGTGCCGAGAGCATGATCTGGGATGTTCTGTGCCACATGCGCACAACCCAACCTGTAACTGCCAGCCTTCTATTTGCCTGCACTTGAGCTTTGGCAAATTTCTAGCCACCTTACATGGATGGCCAGATCCCCTGTAACAATCCTGGGCGTTTATGGTGGACACAATTCTTTCTCATAGATTTATTCATGTGACTTAAGTTACCAAACATGGCTCGTGCATAACATCCATAATTCCATATATTGTTATGCAGTGTGTCGGTCTCAGTGAAATTGAACTTTGTCCATTGCTGTGTTTACAGGAAACTTCTAGTTATAAAATCGCGGCTCGTCCTGAAAGGCGCAGACAATTTGAGATTGACCTTTGTTCATCTGCTAATGTTGCTATTGATTTATTAACTGCTTGCATGGCCATTGATCAGCTGAAAGAACAGGTTTATTTCCTCTTCAACATTTCCTTTTACGATACTAATCCCTTTAGTGTTATGATGCATAAAGAGGTTGTGCCTACGCATTCATTTTTTTTTTTTTGTTCAGAGCTTAGCTATTTATTTTATACCTACTCTGCTACATGCACATGTAATGTGCTCCCATGATTGGTCCTTTATGTGCTAGTCTCTCCTTTCTTCCATATATTTGTAGTTGTCCTTCAGTTACTTTGATGGTTGTCAATAGCTTTCCCTCAAGGAGCTTGCTACCTTCATTAATAACTTTGGAACTAATATCCTAGTTGCTGGTCCTTACAGTGTATATATATTCTGCCCTGTACACTCACTCTGGCAGATTGTGTCTAACTGAGAGATAGTATATAATGTACTGTCCATTTATTTTGTACGTGCAAATGTGATATCCACTTTGTATAAACTACCTCAGATGTGAGTTAACAGACCTTTTATCTTTATATACAACAATGTCACATCTTCATGGTATCTTTTTTGAGGAGAAGCATCCAATTCATGTTTCAATGTTCTTTTTATTGAAACGTAGAAGTTAACTTGCAATTCTGAGATACATTTCAGCACTGCATTTATAGTGTATCTTTGATTGTTCCTTTGCAGGTTTTGGAGGGTTTTTCTTCTTGGCTTCGTTTCTGTCATGGGTATGAAATTTCTGGTGTTCTGATAGTGATACTTCATTCCTTGAAAGTGTAGCTGTTGTAGTATGTCTCATTCTATTCTTATGCTACTGCTGGTTAACAGTATTGATTTCAGTAATTATAATTAAAGTCTTCTTTCTGCCAGAATCTCTGCCTCTGAACTCGCATCACATCCTTTGGTCCATTTGGCACTCTCTTCATTGAACTCTGATCAATTCTTGGAGGCAGCTGTAAATGGTATTGTTCTAAATATGCCTTCAATTTCTATTGTATTCAGGCTGTTCAACTTTTGTTATCTTATACTTTTCACCCTTTTGCCACATTTAACCAATTGAATTCTATACACAATTCTATGACCATTTTTCTGGTGTGCTTATGTTATCATGGTTATACTTGATTCTGTGTCTGGTATAATAAAAACCTGATATGTCTCTAGATTATATACATCTATATCTATACTGTATACTCTTACAAAAACAAAACCCCACTAGCATGCAATTATGATAGCCGTCTCTTCATGCAAGGTATCCACGTCAGGAAGCCTCGTCCCCACTAACATGCATTTAGCTGTCCACATCATCCACTAATGTTCATTTATGAGTCTGTCTCTTCATGTTAGCTAAGCTATCTAAACTAATGATCCACATAAGGCTAATAATGATAGGCTGTCCGATTTCCATTCCAAACCATATCTGTCCATTCAATGCCATCTGTGATCCCCGCAGGCCGCAGCAACGAATGGGGCATTCTTTAGTTCTTACTACTACCTCCATTATCTTTTATAGGGCGTACAACCATCGTTTTTGACGATTTGTTGGGCGCGGGGTTGGAGGTGAACAGCAGCTGTGTCATTTACTCGATACGTATGGAACCCGAAGCGTTTTTCACGTTGAGTTGCGTGGTTCAGTTCTGTGCTTGTTATTTTTTCACTGCACGCGCTACGTTGGTTTGTTTCACCAGGCAACAGAAACGTCGCTGCATGCATGCATGCAGATATGGGGCATGATCTCGCTCCTCGACGCTGCATTACTACTACTCATCCTCGCTATCTGAGTTTCCTTGGTATCTGCAATACTAGCCTCCACGCCTAATAAAAGATAATGGAGGGAGTACTTACTAATTAATTATTTCACGCTCAAGATTGTAAACATAGCAGTGCTCATAAGATTATTGTTCTTTAATGGTTGAAAGGGCCTCTAGCTGAGTTGGTTAGGTGGTCTGAGTAGCACTAGCACTCCTCAGGTCCTGAGTTCGACTCCCCGTGGGAGCGAATTTCAGGCAGGGGTTAAAAAAGTCCCCTCGTCTGTCCCACGCCAAAGCACATGTCTAAGGCCTGGCCCTGGTTGTGGTCGTTCTCACATGGGCTCCGGTGCCGCTGTGTATGGGTGGGGCAGGGGTTTTCTCGACCTGTGTGAGAAGGTCTTCTTCTTAATGCAATACCCGGGGGCTATCTTGCCCCCTGGAGGTCAAGTTTTTTTTTTCTTTAATGGTTTTCATGCATCCAGTTGACATTGTAAACAATGTCAGTATTTGAGTACGACTTTGGTTGTGAGTTTCCATTAAATATACATAAAATGGCCTAATAGAATTACAATAAAATGAAAGCATTTTCAACTTTGAAGGCGAATAAACGCATAACATATTCAGATGGTGATTAGATATCTACTAGATAATGTTGACCAGAACTAAAATAGTTCTTTTTTGTGAGACAAATCTATGATGGTTTGACTGCATTTTAGGACATCACCTCAACATTTTAGGAACAATAGAATACAACCGTTCGACTACCCAATAACATATTCCTTAAAATTGCTATGTATCTGGTACCAGGTATCAGATTCCAGATACCAGGATTCAACATGCTGCCCCTTGAAGCAGGAATATATTGACACCTAGTGCAGGTTTCAAGTTTGTAGCAAACCGCTGCAGGTTTTGTTGTTTTCATTGTTTCAACATGGGTTCAATGAGGGTCCTACAAGCTTCAATAACCAAATCAACTTCAGTACGTGCACACCTCTCAAGAGGTGTGATAAAACGGGAAGATCTTAGGGCAGTTTTCTGATAGACGAAGTGAAGTTAGGGCTCAAGGCATTAGTGACCCGTTGGTTGGAGGCTGGCTGTGTCGCTGTGGCAGTGTGCATAGAACTATAGAAGGGGCTCAATGATGAATCACACTTAGATCCAGCTCCCAGGCTGTATCATGTCTAACTGGCATGTGCATACTCACCCTGCTGCATCATCTTAAGGCATGGACCATGACTTCCTTGTGGGATCCCTGTGCAACGCGCTCCTTGCGTATTGCTTTTTGCAACATCATGTCCTCCATGTTCTCACAGAAGACAAAGCTATGCAGTCTGGCACACCAAATCCTCATCTAGTCTGGCCAGTCTCACAGAGAATAACTTCAAGTTCTGCTTCTCCATAGGCTGTGTGTTGGCCAAAACAGGCGGAGCTTTTCTTGCTACCATGTTCAGAAACTGGGCCCCTGAACTCCTGAAGGATTTTCATGCTCCGTTCTATTTTTGTTTCTATACATGGGAAGTCCAGGATACTCTCACATCGCCCTTGCCACTACAGCCTACAGTAAAGATTTGCGGGTAGCAGTCCTGCAGTTGCTGCTTGTCAATGTGTCAAGGGCAGTGACGCCCAAGATAGCTGGACCTCGACTACGAAGCTCGTAGTCGCGATCCGTCGTCGCCGGCAGAGTTATGCCCCCACGCCGCCGCCGTCTTCGTCAACCGGGTTATGCCCCCTAGTTGCCGGCTTAGAGAGAAAGAGGTAGGAGATAGGCTGATAATGCTTGATTGATTTCCAACGTGTGGTTACAATAATATATGGCAAAAGGCCCAACTAAAAGGAGCAACAATCTCCTTAATCTTAGGAACAAATAACAGAAAGCTATCCTACTTTCCTTCCTAGCCACCAGCGTTGCTTATGCCCTGCGCCTCCTCCTGCGCGGCTGCTGCCCGCTCCAGGGCGCGGCGCACGTCACGGGCCCGACGCCTTCTCAGATACGTGCGCCCGACCATGACACAATGAGTTGGTGGCTTCCAAGGGTTATGGAGCTTCCATGCCTGTTGGCTGTTGCCAAGACTGGATTCCAAAAGCTGTCGTCTCCTTCACATGCCATTGCCTTCCACCAGAGTCCACATTGTTTCCTCCAGCTGCTTCATTGTATGAACTATGAAGTATCCTGTTTGCACTGCTAGCATACATTTGATGTTTGGGAATTGGGATTTATATTTTATCCACTTGGCTCTCATGATTCTGTTACTGTGGTTCACTGTCCAATTGAAGTGAGGATGATTAATCATCTGCCTTTATTGCTTGCTTAATAAAAGGCATAAACATATTACATTTGCATGGGATTAATATTAAAGTCACTGTTATTTGCTCAATATTCTTCCAAACAACTTTGCAAGCTTGTCGCATTAGCTTGATTTTCTGGGCTTACAAGGTAGTAAAAGCTGGTTTACAGGTTAAACTAAGCTTGGCCAAACCAACACTCCGAGCTTGGGATCCAAGTGGGTACCCAGTGTTTTCTAGGTCTTTAGTTCATTTTTTCTCCTAAGTTATCTATGTGGCATGCCGTTCTAGTTCGTTTTTGCAAGTTTTGGGTTGACCCAATGACCCCAAACAAGTGAACTTGCATCCCTACTGAGAATGGATGTAATTAGTACTGGGAATGGCTGTAGTTAGTTACGACTAAGATGACTAGTCCAGTAATTCTCATGCCTTTGGTTTTGTCGGAACCTCACTGATATAGTTAATGTTCTAATTTCCAGTTACATCTGAACTGATACATGCTACTGTATCTCATGGCTCTGGTACTATTGCTGAGCAAATGCCGCTCATTCAAATTCTTGTCCCTCATATTATGGGTCTGAAAGAGCAGCTCAAAGATCCATCTAAGGTATGACATCTCTGGCCATATTCTGCATGGACGGTCAGTGTATCTGTCAAATTCCTCTTCATCATGTTTTGAGTGTTAATTTTATCTCTTCAATCTTCATGCTCGCACATATCATTTGGTGGAATTAATGTACTTCGTTGGTGATTCCGGAAAATTCAAAATTTCTGTTAGCGCCGTAATTAGGATTTAGGCATGAGTCACTCTAGCTCTCTTTTAGTTATCTTTCATTGGAATGCACAATGAAAAGGTGTAAGCATTGTAGATTGCAAGACGTAGTAGATTGATTGTTGTGATACAATGTACATGAATATATAGGCAAGAACAGGGGTGGCTTATAAAAACGTAACCAACCTCCAATATCCTCAATCTACACAATTCTGGACTTATAATCGAAGGAAACCTCCTGAGCATGCCCTGGCCGTACCCTGTGTAGAGGGATAGCCGGCTGGGCTACTCTAAGCTAAGCCCATGGCCCATATGTATATAATCCCGTCTAACAAAAGGAACTAAAATGCTTTGGTGTTGTTTGAGCTGGTAAAGTTATTTTACCCATAAATCCACAGTTTCCTGTCTAAGGAAACTCTTTTAGTGCATCTTTGAATTTTGAAAGTAAATTTTTAACTTTTGTTTCTGAACAAACACAAATGCATCCAAGTCTGAGCTTTTAAAATAATCGGACTGTTGGGGAAGATGCTATGATAAACAAAAGCCAGTAGGGCAATTGATTAGCAGAGGGAAAATTAAAAAAAAAAGAGAGAATTGCTCCATTTGTCCCTGAAGTTGCATGGTTGTGTCACCCTTACCCACACCCACTGTAAATACTTTGTGAGACCCCTAAATGTTAACTCTGTTTGTGTTAGTGGCCCAAATCACTGTTACATTAGTGATAGTCCTGATGTGGCATTGAACATGGCCTATCAAGCTATTACCATGTTGGCTTTCATCGTTTCTCCCCATGCTCTTTGTCTGTCCTCTCACTGCTGCAGTACATACAGATCCCTAGGAACAGACTACTACTCTGGCCCACCATTTCCTATTCCTCCTTTATTTCCACTAAACTCCACGAGAAAATATATTAACAAGTGCTTATTATATTTATCTTTTTTGTTATATTTTATATGTTTATACCTTGAGTGTTTGGTAAATATGTAGAAATGCATGTGTTGTTTTGCTTCTATTTTTTATGACCCTTTGGCACATTTTTAGGATGAAGAAGATGTAAAAGCTATTGCTCGTTTATATGCAGACATGGGTGAATCCTATGTTGACTTGATTGCCACAGGTAAATTTCATGGATTATGCTGATCACCATTGAGATCCTTCTCTTGCCAATGACCCATTTATTTACTTTTAATGTTTGAGCTTTACCAGGTTCAGATGATTCAATTCAAATAGTAAACGCATTGCTAGAAGTTACTTCTCATCTGGAATTTGATATTTCCTCTATGACGTTTAATTTCTGGCACCGTCTTAAGCGTAACCTGATCAGGAGGTAATGGACTAACCTAATTAAACATCATGTGCTTTGCCTGAGAAATAATGTTATCAATGCTTCATGTATTTTAGGGACTCTTATGTATCATATGGATCAGAGGTGGCAATTGAAGCTGAGAAAAACAGAAGATTACAAATATTTCGTCCAAAGTTTGAAACTCTGGTGTCTCTGGTACGTATTTGAGGACTGAAGATTTTATAACATCCTCCCTATAATCTTGCCATGTAATGAAATCAGCAATGTCCACTGAGTTATTTCATTTCATGTGTCTGATTTCATATATTGTGTTGATTTCCGGATCAGGTCAGTTTCCGAGTTGAATACCCTGAGGACTACCACACCTTTTCCGAGGAAGACCGCAGGGATTTTAGACATGTTAGATATGGTACAGTACCTAATTTCTTTTAGCTGGTTTCATCAGTCCATTTTGCCTATCTTGTGGTTGTAAGACATATTTAGGGCCATTTGTGTTTCAGCTGTTAGTGATGTGCTACTTGATGCAACTGAAGTTCTTGGGGGTGACTCGACGCTAAAACTACTTTCCACCAAGCTAGCTCAGGTGACCTAAACTATTTCTCTTGTTTTATTTCTGAGATCTTGTGCTAAATCTCTTTGTTGGCTTGGCAGTTTCCTTACTCAATGTATTTTGTGATGTGATTTGTGATTTGTTTAGTTTCTCGGTTACTTTGGCATCTTGTGCTCATTATTATAATGTTTCTTCTCCAGAAGGCTTTTCTTTTATGGAAACAATGATTTCATGTCTCCATATATAGTCTAGACAGAATGACTGTATTCCAGCATAGGTTTGTCTGGCCCTTCTGACTTTGTGTATATGGATTTTGGGTTGTTGGGCTAGTTGCTCAGTAATACTACAACAGCATGAAAATAAAAAATAGTATTTGTACGCTGTTGATATGATTTAAGATGTTAATAGTATATTGATTGACATGAAGCGCTTACTGATCAGAATTCACAGATGGATTTTGGATATTTGGGGCGCATTAACAGTACAGGTGCTGATTGAGTATCTAGAGCTTTGGGAAGTTTTAGAGGTATTCCATTTGAATCCTGATGTACCAGATCAACACAAAGTGGAGATTTATTGACACAGTGACATATTCTTGTTGCTCAGCATACTTGGCCTTTTTTGTGTTAGTGTATGGATGCCCTGTTACTAATAAGGGAGACTGAATTGGATGATAGTATTGAGAGCTGGCACTATGCACTAGACTTGAAAAATTAAAGAGACTAATGACATCCAAAATCCAAGATCGAAGATGTCATCGAAGCATGCAACTCTTGGACAATGTCGATGTAGAAAATGACCTCCTCCAATACCTCCAATCTTCACAGACGGTACTTTAACTCTTCAAATATGAACCTTGCTTTTGGTTCAAAAAACATATGAACCTTGCTTTGGAGACTTTGAACTCAACGAGAATAAAGAGACGTGTCAAATCAAGCCAAAGGAAGAACAGAGAGATCACGGCTGCAAAACGGCAAGTAGGACAGAATGGTGGTGATGATAAATAAACAGCCCTTGATCATGAAGTGTAGCAAAATAGCTACGAAAGAGACCGAGAGGGCATAGTCGCATCAATGATGATGATGATTAGCTAAATCTTTTTTTTTTGTGGAGTAATGATTAGCTAAATCGATGGGACTCAGCTAACCAAAGAGACTTTATGTGACTAACACGAGCACATGATTTACTTTTTGGGATGGAGGGAGTAGATATTAACAACATAACGTTGATTGCTTAACCTCAGGCTTCAGTTTTCTTTCAAACTGACTGACTATTGCCTTCCCAGTGTTGCACCAGAAAAGTTTATTTAGTTCTCAATAATAACAGTTTTTCACTTTTGTATTTTAGGCATATGGGAGCTGCAACAATGAGCAGAACCCCAAGTGGCAACCTGTAGAGGCTGCCCTGTTCTGTATACAAGCAATTGCAAGATCAGTCTCAGTTGAGGAGCGAGAAATTTTACCACAGGTATTGATAGCATATTGATTGTCCCATAATGCTATTGGTTGTTTTTCCTTAACTAGTTCATCTACCAGATCTTCCTCTGATAAGCTACCTTTTGTTTGCACTGAATTCTTATATGGTGTTGATGCGCTGTTATTGTTTTCTAAAGGTTATGTCACTGCTTCCCTGCCTTCCTCACCATGAGCAGTTGCTACGAACAGGTATGTTTTACCGTGCAGATAGTTCAGAAGTCCTTGATCTTTGCACGGTATTTATTTAATTTTATGCTGTACCTGCTCAGTAGGCAGTAGCTCGTTAGCTCTATCAAGATGTTAATGTTTATGACAGTTAGAGCTGCTTATTCACATTGACAGATTTTTATTGTTACTGAGTTACTTCGTTATATTTGTTTTGATCCTTCTAGCTGCGTGTTTTTTATAACAACCATGCAATAAATGGTTTACCTGGCCTGTTTATCACAATGTTCTGAAATATACTTACAGTTTGTTCGACCATTGGAGCATTTTCAAAATGGATTGATGCTGCACCGCTGAATTATCTATTCTACCACCTCTAGTTGATATTCTCAATAAGGGTATGAATACATCAGAGGATACAGCTGCGGCTGCTTCTATGGCCTTTAAGTACATATGTGAAGGTATGCATCTGCATCTACTTAGCAGTGTATTATCTTTGTGCATCTGTTTCGGAATTGTCTTATTTATTTTAATAAGTCTAGCTTGGTACTGTTGGGCTATTGCCTATGACTGCCTATGACTGTAGTAAAATTTGAGATGGGCTATTCTATTAAATGCCATTCATGATTTGGCACCCCATTTCCTCATTGGTGTGTGATAGCGTCTGGTGGCAAATCCTGAAGTGCCAGTGCTGTTGAATAGTATGGGGTGTTAGGTTTCATGCACCAACCAGATGAACCCAAAAACTTAAGCCGTTGGGAAGAGGTGGGCAATCCACTTTATACTTCAACACTCCCACTCACGTGCAGCCACATACAAGGCGCAAACGTGGAAATAAAGGAGCGGAGGACTTAAATGACACCTCTGCCATGACTCGAACTTGAGACCTCTGACATGATACCATGTTAGGTTTCATGCACCAACCAGATGAACTCAAAAGCTTAAGCCATTGGGAAGAGGTGGGCAATCCACTTTATACTTCAACATGGGGGGACTTATTCTTGCTTTGAATTTTGCCCAAATTTATGTTTTGATGCCACAAATTATTTACTGTTTGTTTAATTTATTATCCTTTTTTGGTGATAAGACTGTAGGAGAAAGTTCTCAGGGTCCCTGGATAGCCTCTTCCAGATATACCATATTGCAATTAGTGGAGTTGGTGGTTATAAAGTTTCTTCAGAGGACTCGTTGCATTTGGTTGAAGCCCTAAGGTTCTATGATTCCTCCCATCCAGCTTGGCTATTTTTGTTAGTAAAGCTTTTTGGTTGTATCATGTACTCACCTTGCACGCTTTTGCATTCTGATACACTTCGATCAGTGTGGTTGTTACAACGCTTCCACCAGAATCTGCTAGTAGAGCCCTGGAGTTAATCTGCCAGCCAGTAATCAATCCCTTGCAAGTAGGTATCCCTTTTTTATAGTCAATTAGACATGCCTAATGTATCCATTATAATTTGTTTGCTTCGATAAAAGGAATTAATCCAGCAAGGTGATCAAGTTCTTCAACAAGTCCCTGCTCGGCATTTAACTGTACATATAGACCGACTATCAAGCATTTTCAGGTGGTGGCCTTCTATTTCTAAATTTCTTCCATTGAAAAAATACGTTTGTTTACTAAATCCTCCAAATTGTTCCAGCAATGTGAAACAACCAGAACTAGTTGCTGAAGCTGTATATAGATATTGGCCGACACTCAAGAGTATCTTTGATCAGTAAGTATGATACCATGGAGTTATTGCCAGAAGTTCCTATTACTGCTATATACATGAATGTTCTCCTCCACTCCTTTATCAAAATACTCTTATGCACAGACGAGCATGGGATACCCGTACCATGGAGTCAATATGCCGATCTTGCAAATTTGCTGTAAGTTTGTGACTTGTTTGACATATTAATTGTTTGATATAATTTCTATTCAAATCTTATGCAAGTGCCATCAAGATTGCATTATGGAACTATTATCTTGTATCAGACATGGAGTCTGAATAACTCTGGTTCCTAATGTTCCTTGGTTTAACTGTTTAATTAAAAGTTGCAATGAAAATCTACCTGATGTTTTCTGAGTAGTGTGGAGCATGTGCTACAGCATAGCCTTGTAAGTTTCAGTTTATCATGCCTGATGCACCAGGGTGCTTGGCATAAAAGTGTTACAGGTAGTTTGTAAGTTTCAGCTTATCATGCCTAATTCAGGGCTTTGTAGACTGTTGTTTCAGTACTTCCCAAAATGTACAAATTATCGTCCAGTAAGTAATAAAGCTGGAGTTGGAGATTGCAAATAAGCCCTTATCTTGCTCTAAATTTGTTCTTTTAGCTTCTAGTAAGGGATTGAAGCAGATTACAAATATCTCTTGTGGTCACTTCAATACCATCTGGATATTCATTGTCCGCTGACTAATGCTAACATGCCTTTTCTGTGTGAAGGTAAGGACGTGTGGAAGGGTCATGGGAATGACGATTGGTGCAATGCTTGAAGAAATCCAAACTCTCTACCAACAACACAAACAGTCTTGCTTCCTTTACTTGTCCAGTGAAGTTATCAAGGTTGATTTATATTTTCAAAGAGTCAGACTTATAAACTTGAACTGTATTTTCCCCTTCTCTGACAATTCTTTTTCTTTGTAGATTTTTGGATCTGATCCATCTTGTGCGGGCTATCTTACTAGCTTGATACAAATACTTTTCAGCCATACAGTGCAGCTTCTCAGAACGATTCAAGTAATTGTTCTTCCTTTTTCATTCCTAGGTGACAATTACATATTGGCAACACAAAAGGTGACCAAAGTGCACTATATTTTCAGGATTTTACAGCCAGACCAGATATAGCTGATGATTGCTATTTGTTAGCATCAAGATGTATTCGTTACTGTCCTGATCTATTTATACCTACAGAAATGTTTCAAAGATTGGTTGACTGCGCAATGGCTGGTATAACTATACAGCACAGGTAATGGCCTCTAGATTGGCTGACTGCGCAATGGCTGGTATATATAAACATTTGAACAAGACTCTGAGATGCTTGAGTTGGTTCAAATTCGAAAAATTCTCTATACATACAACAAGGCCCTTATTGATATATATCAAAATCATTTAAGAGTCGATCCGAATCTGACCATCTAGCAGTCTTGTTCAAACACTTTTATCTATGAAAACGATATTCTTGTTCCCTGTTTTTTTTTTTCAGTATTGAAGTCTAATGTTGTAACCTAACTTTTATGTAACAGGGAAGCCTGTAAATCGATATTGTGTTTTCTATCTGATGTCATTGACCTTCCAAACTCATCTGACGGGGGACAGTACCGTGAAGTTATTAACACAATCATACTTCAACGTGGTGCAACCCTTACTAGAATAATGATTGCTGCCTTAACAGGGGCGCTACCATCTGGTCGTCTGGAGGAGGTGGGTTGTAAGATCGTATCTTTTTTTATATAAACAAAAAAAATCTGAAACGTGCATGAGAATTGTCATTGCATTAGAAAGAAAACTAATTTTCAGTGGCATTTCCATTATTGTTTGTTACATTCGCGTCCAGCAAAGAATTGTTGAACTACCCTGTCTAGCGCTACTCTACGCTCTACCAGCAGCTAGAAAGAGCATGTCTTACATGATGTTTTCTTTTGCTCTACCAGCAGCTAGAAAGAGCATGTCTTACATGATGTTTTCTTTTGCTCTACCAGCAGCTGGAAAGACATGAATCAACATTCTCCTGTGTTATCAGATATCTCACTAAAAACTGATGCAAAGAGGCAAATGTAGCTCACTTTTTTTTTGTCAAAATATGTCTCTTATTTGATCACAAAATTACTGGAATACCTTTTTAACTACATAATAGCATATTGGATTGGAACGTTGGTTCCTTACTGATATGCTACCCCTGTTCAAAAAATGTAGGTCGTTTTAGTTCTGCCCTAAGTCAAACTTATCTTTGACAAAGTTTATAGAAAAATGCAGCAACATCTAGAACATAAAAAAATTAATATCACTAAATCCATCATAAAATATGTCTTGACAGTGTATTGATTTGGTAACATGATGTTAATGTATTTTCCATAAACTTTGTCAGAGTAAAGAGAAGATTGACTCACATTAGGACTCTATCTGGTCACTATTTGTCCATCATTTTAAGAGTATAGAATATAGACAAAAAAATGACTAAAGGTGGAACTGAATGTCTTCCCACTATTAATTATGGTGATTATTGCATTTGTGCTGTCAGGTGTAAGTAAAGCCACATTACTTTTAGTTTCCCTTATATCGCATACTTTGTCTTTTTTCATCCCCACATTACCTACATTCTACTTGTACTTAGTTGGTCGCTTCCAACTATCATTAGTACTGCGGAAAAAAGTCTTAGGCCTTGTTTGGCGGGGCTCCCTCTGGCTTCGGCTCTACTCAAGGAGCCAGAGCTTTTTTGAGCTCCTAGTTCATTCCTTGAGGAGAGAGAAACAGCTCCTGGTTGTGCCAAACAGGCTCTTTATCGAGGCCATGAAATCACCAACTCCACTGTGGCACGCAAACAGCCATTTGTGCATAAAATCAACACGAGAATGCCAATTGTAGTTTTGATATTTTATTGTATTACTGAAAAAAATTTAGAGCAAAGCATGAGATAGTAAGATGATAATTGACAGGTGGATTTGTACCTTTTTGCAGGTTTCTTATGTTCTGCTGTCACTTAGCAGAGCCTTTGGTGAGAACTTGCTGAACTGGGCAAAGGAAAGCATTAATCTTATACCACCACAAGCCCTAACAGATGCAGAACGTTTGCGTTTCTTCAACATCATATCTGATGCTGCTTCCGGGTCTAGTCTTCATACCACAACAGATAGATTTGGAGAAATCTCAGATGTTTGTAGACGAAACAAAACAGTGCAAGACCTAGTTCAAAGTGCGTTGCGGCCTCACGATTTGACTTTCACGGTGGTTCCACAACAGATGTGATAACTGCAAGGCAAGTTTAGAAAGCCAGTTCATGCATATTTTCAAGTTGAGAAAAGCCACTGAGTCAGTGTTGATGCAAGACTCAAGTCATCTTGGGAATTTTTTTCGTAGTTCATTCAGGTTTGAGTTGCGGCGGCATACAGTTCAGATTTGTTCAGAGCATAGATAGGTCAGTAAGCATTGTAATTCTTTCGTGTTTCTCCTTTGTACATGTGCCGTAAATTGTGTATTTGGGGAGGGAGATAAGTTGTGTTGTATTATTTCAAAAAACAGTGTTATACTGGGTATAACTGGCAGATCACGCGGAATGGTGATCTACCATGGGCCTGATTTTGCGTTGGCCGGTCAGCTTCTTTTTTGTAAAGTGAGGTGGCCATCGATTTTATTATGTAAGCTTATACCGGCTGTTCAAGGACGGACAAGTTTGTGTTCCTTTATGATCCCCAGATGTGATGGCCTATGATTAGAACTGGTGCAATTTAAGCTCACCTTGAATCAGGGGCAGACGTTTGAAATAATTTGGCTAGTTGCATCTACTCTCTCGGTAGATAAAAGAATGCAATTCTTACAATTTCGAGAAGTCAAATGGTTTGAACTTTCAATAAATTTATATAAAAAAGTATCGATATTCATGATATAAAATAAGTACCATTAGATTAGTTATAAATATATTTTTATAATAATTTATTTAGAGACATAAATGCTAGTACTATTTATATAAAGTTGATCAAACCTGAACTAGGTTACTGACATAAATCCTATGATTACATTCTTTTCTAGGCTAGAGGTATTCGTTAATCAGTGTGTCCTCGACGAGGTTTCGTCCCGTGCTTGTAGAATGCAAAAGCTAGTACAAGACCACGCATGACCATTATATGGACACGACAGCAACAGGTAGCATCGCCATCACCATCGGTGAAAACTTGAATTAGATATAGCAGTGCTAGCGTCCGGATGTCCGGACGCGGGCGGATGTTCGGACGGATGCCCATGTCCGGACGGATGCCCATGTCCAGACCTGACGTGGTGTCTGCGCTCCACCCGACCCCATGCGTGTCTGCGCCTGCGCCTGACCCCACGTGCCCCCTCCGGCAGTTGCAGCAGGTGGGTCACATTTCAATTGCAACATCTGGTTTACTTTTGAAATATTCAGATGCAACACTTGCAACGTACGTCTTAAAAACAGAAGAAACACTTGAAACATGAGTCTGAAACACTTGCAAAAACACCTGAAAACACTTGAAAACCATTGCAAATATACGTAACATCCGGATAACACACTTACAACATATGTGGGAAACATATGCAACATCCAGATAAACACACTTGCAACATATGTGGGAAACATATGCAACATCCAGATAAACACACTTGCAACATACGTCTGAAAAATAGATGAAACATTGCGAACAGAGGTTTGCAACATACGTGTACAATCATTGCAATATCCTAATCTACTTTTGCAACATCCATACGAAATACTTGAAACATACATCTGAAACATCTGTAACATTTGAAACATACACCGGCGCGGAGCTCGATGCCGCACAACTCCAGTGGAGAAGGTCGCTCTGGTAGAGAAGGCGGCCGGCGCGGTGGAGAACGCCATAGTGGGCAGATGGCCTGGTGGAGAGGAAGGATGGCGGTGGCAGCACTAGAGCGTGGTGGAGAGAGAGGACGACAGCGATCGGGCGCGGTGGAGAGCATCGTAGCGGCATGGTCGCGCTAGAGCACGCGCGCGGTGGATAGAGTTGCGAAGGCGTTGTCGCGTTGGAGCACGCGTGCGGCGGTGCGCACGCGACGGTGGTGCGGTGAATGGAGAGGAACGGACGACAAACTCATGAGCAAATAAGGTTGGGGCAAACGGATACGCAAGTAGAGAGTTGGGCCATTTCGCTGGTGTCATGGCCAATCAACCGCAGCGTCCGACGGACGGACGTTCCTTAGCACAGCATTTCCAAAATAACAATGGACATGGCGACCCATATAGTCTATAGGACCGCTCGATGTGAAGGCATGCATCGTGCGTGCCAGATCGCCGGTTGGATTGGACGAAGGGGAGAGCAGAAGGCCGGCGAACACTAACACGGACCGGTCAATCAGGTGGAGGCATGCATGGTAGGCTGTTCACGTTCACGCACTGCCTTAGCCCCTGAGCTGGCTAGCTAGCGGACCACACGTTGCAAAAGGGCACGTAACACGCAGGGATTGATTGGTTGCCTCTATTAGGTTTAGCCAGCATAATCCAGTGTAATCTAAACGTATGCGGTACGTGTTTGGATCTTATACAGCCAACTTAAGCCAATATAAACGTATGTAATCCTGCACAGGCAGCCATATTCCATAAAATTATGTTTGTTTGTTTACATTTTATAGCATATAGTCATCTTATATGTTCTATTAGAGTTTCATGTTTCTAGTCTCTATTGTATGAATTACGAAGTGTGATCATCTGCCCCCGACGGTTTTCTTCGGCCTTCATCAAAATTGGCTCGCGCCATCACCCCACGTCACCAACAAAAAAAAGAATCCCAAATCTGCCCCACGCCCTGCCTCCACTAGCTCGTCCCGTGTTTCGCCCCACGTCGCAAAAAAGAAGAATCCCCAGCATCAAGTCTGCATCCTCCCACGCCCTAGCCACGTCGCTGCGCCACCGCTGCCCTCCCCTCCATGTGCCCCTGCCCCAGCCATCGCGCGACATCATGGCTCCGGAACTCTATGCCACTGCCACCGCCGGACCGTGGCCGGTCGTCTCCCACTCAGCATTGGGGCGCGGACCTCGTGCCTCGACCATAACCCTAGGGCCCGACACCATCGCCAAAGTTGACTCCTTCTCGGTCCCGTCCCACTCGGCGGGAGCTCCAGGGGCGGCCGGCAAGGAGCGGCCACAGCCCGTCGAGCAATAGTAGCAAGAGCTAGGCGCAGCAGGCGGAGGAAGCCTCGCACATCCAGCTCGCCCTCGCGCTCTGCAGCTGCTCCGAGAACTACCACTAGTAGAGAATAGACCTTTCATCCGATGCTAAAATGGACTCTAGTCCCGACATTTTTTGCGCCCGGGACTAGAGAGACCTTTAGTCCCGGTTGGTGTCTCCAACCGGGACTAAAGGTCCCTGCCCAACGGCTACTCACAGTGGCAGGGGACCTTTAGTCCCGGTTGAAGACACCAACCGGGACTAAAGGTGGACCTTTACTCCCGGTTGGAGCCACCAACCGGGACTAAAAGTCCTCCAACCTTTAGTCCCTGTTGGTAACACCAACCGGGACTAAAGATCCCCCGATGGGTTAGTTCAAAAGGGAAGCATCCCATCCATTGTTAGATGTGTTGTGTAGGTGGGGTGGTAAGCTACGCGCGAGGCAATGCATGAGGTCTTGGGTTCGAATCTCACGGGACGCAGCGGTGGGAGGCATTATTTTTTTTAAAGCTAGGAGGACCTTTAGTCCCGGTTTCCGACCCGGGACTAAAGGACCCCCTTTAGTCCTGGATGCTTACTCCTGGGTGGGGAACCGGGACTAGAGGGGGTTCTCCACCGGGAGTAAAGCCCGTCCCTCCGCTAGTGTACATCGCAATGGACCCTAACTTCTTCAACTCCTCCAACACCCTCGTAGCGCTCCACAACCACAAGTCTGGCCTCAAGATATGTCCTGTCACTAGTAGAGAACAGACCTTTGATCCTCGGTCAAAATGAGCTCTAGTCCCGGAATTTTTTGCGCCCGGGACTAGAAATACCTTTAGTCTCGGTTGGTGTCTCCAACCGGGACTAAAGGTCCCTGCCCCAACGGCTACTGCGCTAGACAGAGGTGGCAGGGACCTTTAGTCCCGGTTGGAGCCACCAACCGAGACTAAAGGTATACTTTTACTCCCGGTTGGTGGCTCCAACCAGGAGTAAAGGTCTACTCCCGGGCCGTGGCTGCGCCCGGGGTTGGAAAGTTACTTTTAGTCCCGGTTGGAGCCACCAACCGGGACTAAAGGTCCCCCTTTATATCCCGGTCGTCTCCTTCTTCCTCCCCGAGCCTGAGCTCAGCACATTTTGAAGCTCACTGCATTAGTGTTCTTGCTTCCTCCCTCCCTCCATTGTTCCTCCATCCATTATTCGATTTCTCCGTCGATTTCTTTGATTCCTCCATCGATTCTTCAGTTGTAAAGGTTACCAATCTCATACTCTCATTTTTCACCATTGTCTTATCTCATTTTGTTCACTATATATATATGGTTCTTTATTGTGGTTTTTTTCATTTGTAAGCAATTTGAGCTCAAAATCACTTCAAGCTTGCATATTTACATGAAATAAGGTTAAAGTAGCTAGTTGAACTTGCGGACCGTGTTCATCTCGGCGAGCACGTTCTCTCGAGCGGTAACGGACGTCAAGGAGGAGCTTTGATTCTACGAGGGAGAGCGGCAACGGTCGTGGAAGACCGTGTTCCCTTCCTCGTAGAATTGGAGCTCTTCCATGGCCAAGTACGGTGCCGTCCGGTGGAGAAATGCTCGCCGAGATGATCATGTAAGCAAGGTCAATTAGTACAGATGGTTATTTATTCACACGTCCCGATATCGTCGCAGTAGTCTGTTATGTGTCTACACTCCCATTCTTCTGTTAATTTGCGGAAATATCATGTGAATTACTTACCTGCCGCAGTAAAAGACGAGAACACAATGACCATTAAAAATATCATTGTTTAGAGATCTAGATAATTTTATAGTTTCTTAATTTTATTTGTTTATAAAAGGAGAAATTTATAGTGTATTAAAAAATGAGTATAGAGAGTAGATGACAACTGCTTTCGGGTCCTCGGCCTCTCATGGGTTTCCAAAGCGACTTAGGCCGGGCCTCCCTCTCATTCCATGCGGCAAGTGTCGTGATGAGACTAAGATTGTGATGGAGTACCGAGTGAAGAAGGAGGGTCCCAACAAGGATCGTATCTTCTACAAGTGTCCGGATCGCAATGTGAGTTATTTTATCGTATTTAATGATTATGGTTAGTTTATACCTATTTTCATGATG